GAGCTTCAGAGCACATTTTAGCTCATCATCAGTCTATTCTACGCCAAGCGCACTTTCGTACGGTGTCCTTGTCTCGCTGCTGGACCTACGCCAGTGTTCCAGTAATCTCTATGCCTTGCAACTACGGCAGGCACTCAACCCTTGGCGACTACTATGCTAAGACTCCTTTCACCACTTCCCTTACCGCAGCACTCCGCTAACCTGTTTCTGGGACCCTGTCCGACTTGCCTCACTTAGCGAGCCCAACGCTACCAGCCTTGTGACTGCCTACCCCAACACCACAAGGTACAATTTTGGGCGTCATCATTGTACTTGTCTCGTTCCGTCTCTCTGTCTCATCTCTACTCGACTCATACTCCCAATCTATTCTAATTGTTCTCCTTTCTCTTTCTACTCTAAGTTCTCTTGGTTCTCCGTTCCCAACTCCTCTCTTCAGCTTAATCATTTCCATCTTCCATTATCTCATCTCAACTCTTTCCCCTTTCGGCTGTCTAACTTCCCTGGTTCTGTTTCCATCCTTGGGACTTGCTAAGTCCCTGTGCCTGATTATCTCTTGATCCCCGGGACTTGCTTGCTCACTGGTGCTTGCTTGTCCCATCCTCTTGTATCCCCGGGACTCACGCCAACCCCTGGCACTCGTCTTCCATCCACCTCAGCACTTGCCCCACTCATCGGCGCTACCAGCACTCTCTCACATACCGCCCCCACCCCACTTCAGTCTCCTATGCCTTGCGCTCCTCCTGATGCTCTGCGTCTGTGTACATGGTGATTATCACATAAGGTGTTTGCCCAGTAGACTGAGCCCCTGTGGTCAGTGGAACCTGACACATTGGTCATGAGTCCCAATGCCTGTAAGGGGAACACTCACGTCTGTGGAACTCCTTCCACAGAGCTAGTGGGCACCAGTGACAAGTGGGAGTTGAGCAGGCATAGAAGCAGGCAAGAGTCAGACAAGGGACTGGCAGGGCTTAGCCAAGTGGTCGGACATCACTAGAGAGCTTACGGTTGGTTCAATGTGTAGGCCAGAAGAACACTGCTATTGTTCAGCCTGGGAATATTCTATCCACAGGCTGCCTATATATACTACATTGGTGGCTGTGCAGTTACTAATACTGTTTAACTAGTCAGGCCCCAGTATGTAATGGAGTATGACTAACAATAATTGATGCTGTGTAAAGTCCATGCATATGACTCATCAAGGCTGACTAATAGAAGACAGAAGGGGATAGGGTGGGCTGAGTGGTCATTCAGATGTGCTAAGAGTGGGCACATCCTCAGACTAAGCTCAGAGCAGAGTTGGACATGGTCCAGAAACCAGTCCCCTAACAATGCCTGTGCAACATCTTGAAGGTCAGCTTTAGTCTTTGAGGCTAATGTGCCTGTAAATGGAGCATTGAGGTTTCTCTGCTGCCATTGTTGTTCTTTTTCAGCCTCCTTTGCTGCTCATTGCCCCCTTGCCTCATGCTTTTTCTGTTCTTCTGCTGCCTGAGCTGCCTCTTGTTCTTGCACTAACCTCAGACCATGATCAGAATTGAGCCACCTTGCATTGATGTTGAGTTTACGGCGCTTGCAAGGTCTGTTTCCTTTGGCATTGAGCTGCCTCTGAAGATCCTGGATTTCTGACTCCACAAATGCATAGTGGGCTCAAAGCATTGAAACCTCAGAGCAGAGTGCCAGAATCTCATGTCCAAGCTCACCATTTTCTTTTGAGAGAGCAATGAGCCAAGCTGTAACTGAAGTAGGTCACCCAGTGCATTTCTGCCATGTACTATGATGAGTTGCTGAATAAAACTGGCATGGGGGAATGGAATTTTGAATAGATGGAGTGACATGCTGAGAGACATGAGTGTTTGAGGTTGGTAAAGGTGTTGCAAAACTTATCCAAGGGCCTGTGAAGAGAGCATGGAGTCGGCAGATGTTTTAAGCGGCCAGGGTTGCAAGCTTTCAGTTGTGCTATCATTTAATTGCACATCATCCAGTTCATTGTTGCTATCAGATTCCTCCATATGGTAGGCTGCATAAAATTCATTATCAGAATTCTCAATACTCATGTCAGCCATGAATGGAAAACTGTTGGATATGTGATGTCCTGATGTAGATGTTGGAATGCTTGGTGCAAAGTCTTCATCAGTAAAAATGTCAGGATGAATGGGCCAGCAGCTACTCTTTTGAGATGCAGTGCAGATAGTTTTTGGTTTGAAAGTTTTTGTCTGAACATCCATGTATTCTTTGACAAAATCTTCACATGGCATCTCAGCACTTGTTTCATCCATGATTTCATCACATCGCTTTGCCCAAGCATTTGCAAATGGACTGAAGACCCTGACATCAAGAGGCTGGAATTTGTGAGTGGTGTGAAGTGGGAGGCAGAAAAGGATAATGTTATTTTTGTGAGTAATGTTAATGAGCTCAAGTGACTCATGTAAACCATGTCCATCATAAATGAGAAGGATATGCTTTTCTGATGTATTTTGTGAAGTTGCTTGAAGGACAAAATTTTCCTTCAACCACTCCTTGCACAAAAAATCATTGGTCCAGCCACTTTCAGACATGGAAATTCTGACGGAACTTTGTCATGCTTTCTGAACTCCAAATCTGAAAGGATCAGAACTTACCCGATTTTATCATGAACCTTAAACCATTTTGACTCAAATTCCTTCCCTGCAAAAGCAAATCCAGGCAGTAGATAGGTACCATCTGCACAAACACATTCAATAATGGTAATGAGCTCAAGGTTTCCACTACATGCTTTATACTTAGGCCAATGTGTCCTGTGTATAAAGTATTGCTAATTTGCATTTTTTTGCCCTCTGCCTCTCTGACAACCCTTCTCATCCATATTGTAAATGTTCTCAATTGGGATATTGAATTTCTGGACAATTTCCATGAGAAGGTCAAAGTGCTTGTTGACTGTGGACCTGTTAAAGGCTTGAGCACATTTTAGATCCAGGCCTGATGGCTTGCCAAGCTTGATCTCAGGGTGACATCAAAGGAAGAGAAAGATCCAGTTTTTGCAGGGCCATGTACCACAAAGGACCTCAGTCTTCTTCTAAATTGTCTGCTTACTGAGTGGGTGACCAGTGTGAAATAAAAAGATGATCCAATCAACAAGAACCTTCTCTGCCTCAGGAGAGAGAAGCTGTTGTTCAGTGTGAGCTTGTTGAGCAGGAAAATGTTTTCTATAAAAGTGTCTACACAAAGTATGATAAGGAAGAGCCAAACCAGTTTGGTGCTTGACATCTTAAATGACATTGGAGATGTTGGGCTTTCCTTGAGCATGAAGTAGCATACATGCTTCCTGAATGAGCTTTTCAACCTCAGGAGTGATCTGGATGTGTTTGAAAGCAGGGTGGGCAGGTAATCTTCAAGGCCACATACACTACTTCAAGCCAACGGAGGGTGAAAAAAGGAGCCATGTTGAGTTAATCTTAGAGAACTACATACTTTTAATGAAGCCAAGCCAATTCAACAAATACAACATGTTGCAACCACGTGGACTTTGAAATCTGATTAAGGTCAGACATTGTATGGTTACACATCCATACACTCCCTGCAATATCTTCCCTCTGAATGCTCAAAATATTATTAAACTTGACATGAAGCTTGTATTCTATATAGAGATGACTTATCCAAACTTTGGTAGCATTAACTTGAGTAGTGCCTAAGTCCGAGGACCTTTGAATTGATTTTTGTGTTGTATTGGCACATATTGACCTTATTGCAGACCAGTTCCAGTAGAGTTTCACTGATCCTCTCAGGATTTAAGTTGAAAAAGTATATAATATTCATTCTCTGACGGGGATCAGGGGCATTGTGACTGTGATCTCTTCAAAAAATGCATTTTGAAACACTAGGGCATTTTGAAACCTGATGTACGTGATATGATAGTAGTGGTACCAGATCAGGACACAACAATCAACGATCAAAACAACTCGATCAACAATGATCGTGTTCATGCACGTGATCGACGTGACCGTGTCCGGGAGCAGCTAACAAGTTCCTTCATCTGTCACTCAAGACTGATAATAGTATATTTGACCTTAACAACATCGGCGGGTTAGCGTAATGGTTAACGCGTCAGTTTCCGGTATGCGGAATTTAGCTGAAGATTCCGGGTTCGAGTCCCGGACCTGTCGCTTTTTGACAGCATTTCACAGAATACTTGATGAGAACAAGCAACTGTCATTTTCGATGTGTGGCGTAGATTCCAGATATGGTAGCGACAATGTTTAAAGGGTAGATTCTTAAAAGAAGGAGAGGGTCAGGGCATTGAGAGGTATCTGGATAACCCAAAAAAATAAGATGTACTTGATCCCAAAGATGTCCAACCAATTCGATGCAAGTGGGAAAACTCTCAAGAGGTTTCATCTTAATGATATGAGACGTGGAGAAGTCCTACTCAGACTTGACAGGTTTCGGTCTAATCATCATGTCGAGAAGAGTATAACAAAGTTTACAAAAATACTTGTACAGAGGTAAAAACTGATTTGACTTTGACTATAGCTTTCAGGATGCGAAACTTGCTCATAAAAATACTCATTCCTAGGCTCTTTATCAGCCGTTAACGTTCATTCCGCCTGCCCACGGGCCTACCCCCGCCGTTCAATCACTTCTCCACGCTGATTATGTGTCGCATCCCAGTTCTCCAGCTCAGCATTCGGCACTCTCACTAGCCTGTTCGTGATAGCCCCATTGTCGAGGCTCTCGACAACCTGACGGATCGAATAGCCCCCAAGTTTTGGGAGGATTTGAATATAAATCAAATACCCAAGGCCGGAGATTATGAGGCTAAAGTCAAAATTAATAGGATTTCTTTGAAAGAGGGAAAGAGTAACACCTACATGCCGATGCCAACGAGGCAATATGTCGCGTAGAAGAAGCTCACATCACCGCCATGTATGCCACCTTCGGGGGGGATCCAAGGTAGCACAAGAAGAAAAATGTTGACACAGATGGCGAATGCGAGAACAATATTCCACGCTCGAAAATCCGTTTTTGGTGCGCCAAGTTGTTTACGTCGTCTCCGGACCAAGAAGAGTCCCGTTGTTAAAAGGAAAGTGAATACATTCGCCGGATATGATTGTAAATCCACAACTGCCACAGTCGAATAAACGGTGAGTCACCAGAATTCTTTGAAATGAAGATGGAACACAACTGAAATTGAAGGCATCTCCAGCGGGGGGCCCAAGAATGACGATTACTGTGATGACCCACTTGAGAAGGTAAGGACCGAACGGAGTATTGAAAGGCTTTGTCGAAGCCCAAAACTTCGAGTACGGCAAAACACCTTGCCTTCCACATTCTCGGATGGTTCTGGATGACCCAATTATGACACTCAGAATATTTCCAAAACTGCTAATGGCAACTAAAGCGCTCAGGGCCTTGACTGCTCTAGAACTCCCAAATACTGCTATGAAGAACAGACTGGCCGTAAGCTGCTTCGACGTGCGGATCTCTTCCTTGGGAACTGGCTGTTTGTTCAGTCACCGATGAAAAGAGGTAAGTTCTGAGTGTCTCACTAGCAGCAAAATAGGCAATATTGACCAAGAAGTAAAGCACAAAGACAACAGTCAAGGATAATGGAGCATATCGCTTCATTGTCCGGACAGGGTCCTGAAGAAAGTACAACACAGCTGTGAATGACGAGTGACATCAGCTCACTTTGACTTCGTGAAGGACGTTGAAAGCGTTCTGTGCAGCAACGAAGTACAGACTTCAGAAGGAGAAAGAACGTAAGAAGGCAAATTGGAACACACCTCAAAACCAGCGTAGGCAAAGTTGACTTTGACGAGCGCAGTCGCTAAGCCGTTTCCATTTGAAGTTGTGCCAACAAACGAGTTCCTAAAATTGGCATAAGGATCGTCTACCCGCGTGTGCCCACCAAGGACGACCAAGCCCATTATAGCAATGCTAGAAAAAAGTAAGTAAAATCAGTTTTATCATGAGATAGATTTCATAACGGACAAGATTAGAATTATGACTTTAAGTAAGCCGATGGCATTGCATAACCGTAATGACCACTTGGTGCTCAAGACGCAGACTGACCATGGTGGTTCATATGAGTAGTGTGAAGCCTTTGGGAATCGAGCTTACTCAGGACAATCGCCGTCATTGCTCCAATAGCTAATCCACGGATATTCCATGTGGTCGTCTCAGCACCGCATGCAACAAGAAGATACTGCGCGAGGACTGCGGAACACAGACAAAATCAGCATCAAATCATCAGAGATTCCTCAGAAAGGTGATCTACCGATTGCATTACTGCTACTGAAAGATAGAAGCACGGATTGGACCGCGAACGCAGTCGGCAGCAAGAACCTGGGCTTAGGATATGCCTTTCATGGACGTAGGCATGTGAGCATGGACCAATAGGATTAGATGATGATCAATCACATACCTTTTCTAGATAGGCAACTTCAGCACCAGAGCGGTGCGGGAAGTAAGAAGCGTACTCGAGGTAGACTGCAAGTGAAGCTACAGGGGCAGAAAGGGTCAGAAAACTGTTAAGGACACGGGTTGCTTTACCTGCTGCGCAACCAAATCCAATAACCCAATAAATCAGACTTAACCCAACAGAACCGACTGAATACAAAATGGACCCAGCTGCAATCAAGAATGAGCCATTGGATAGACATATAAATCAGAAGAGACATACGCGTTGAGAATACGCCAGTTCCAACCATCTTACTGATGTTCTGGGAAGAGGATTGAATGCCGATCCAGTACAACAGCATGAAGCACGCACCAGAAAGATGACTGTGATAGAGTCAACATGATGGCCAAGAGGACTGACTTGCTCTACCGGAGCACCCGTTGTCGCTCCCGCGTCTTCATACGAAGGAATGGGCGAAACATCGACGACGCATTTTTTCTCGTCATCGAGTTGGCTCTTCTGTGGATCCTCTGAACTCATGGTCAATGAAAAAGAAGAATAAGGTGCGAGAAGAGCAAGCACAGAACATTGAACAAGCACTGGTAACTGAAAAGATTGAGAAGCATTACATCCAAGTCCAGTATGACTTAAACTTGCATGCTGAGTCAAACAGAATTTTGAGTAGCCTTCTCCCTAGGCATACTTCGAGCTCGAAAGCGCGAGTTAGTATAATTTCCAAGACACAAATGAGAAATGATTCCGACAGAACCTTAAGCTGTCTTCTTTCAATTCTGTATAATAAATAATTGTTACTGGTGGTCGCACATACAGAAACAAGGCTCTCGGCGTATTGCCGGATCATTTGCATCTTGGAAATTTGCGCTTTCAAAGGAGTACGAGGTTGAGTTTTAAGCCCATTTGCTCGAAAGAAGCCGAAGCACGTAATGAAGCAAGAAGCGAGTAGACCTTACGAAGAGGCTAGAATTGGCATATCATGCAGTGATATTTGATGGAGTCTAAAGGAGCATCTCAAGTCAAGATTCATAGTATCATGGTCTCGCGGAAAATACCTGCCCAAAATGTACCACCGGACCGGTGTATACGTCGCCCGGGTCGTGTTCTATCCTAATGGATCATATTGGCTATCTTACCCAATGCTCATGCATGTATGAAATGAGAAAAGGACGGCAAGAGAAACGACAGGAATATGATCATATGAACAAAAAGGAAGGTCAGGACTCAGGATTGAGCGGAAGTTTGAACTACTACAGAAAGGGTGTGAAGAACATGTTATCGTGGGCGATGCTCTTGATGGAGTGAATGTGACCATACTTATTCGGTAGAGCCAAAGTGACTGGCGCCGCAAAAGAGCGTGATGAAAGGATGCTCGCCAAGGCGAACTCAAGTCAAAGTAACCACAAACGAGGTGCCGGTCGATTTGCAAAAGATACTCGGCTCAAAAGAGAAAGGAATATAGAGGGATATGGACATCGTGCCATGAGGCAAGAGGCTGGGAAGAAGACGATCAGAATCGAATACCATAACAAACAAAGCTTATCTGAGCTCATCAGAGTCGTCTTTCACCAACCAGCAGTTTGACAATTTAGCAATGTCCCACTATCGAGCAACTTTGGTCTGGAGAGCGTGATCGAGAAACCGACAAATATGTTTTGGTCCGTGGCAAAGGCATCATGATGGCAGGTGTGGCTCTTCTGTGATTTCGAGGTAGTGAAGGGAACTAACATTGCCTTGCCATGTGTCTAGACTGATCATTCAGTCCTGATGTGCTTTCAAGTTACCCTAATGTGATGCATTGCCATGCAAGAGACGTGTGACAACACAGATGGTAGGTGCAATTCCACGGCCTTTTGTCTTTTGTATTCTATTTAAAGTTTCGGACGTTCTCAAGCGGTGGCACAACACCGGCCTTTTGTCTTCTTCGGGCTAATAAAGGTCGGCCGTCTTGGAAACAATGCAGGTCCCTCGCGACAGAGTGACCTGACGCTACTTTTGTCCTCCTTTCCATCACAGCCATGCTCACAACAAAGACTTACGCAACCCATCATATATATGTCCTTGTGAAACGACTGTGATGTGATTTCTCGCTATTCTCTTCTGCCACCTATGTCCAGCGCCTTTTTAGCAAGATGAACGCAGGCTACTATTACTCTCCCCCATCTTACCCATATACATGCTTTTATCCGAGTCCAAACGCAGACTACACGGGTTCATCGTGAGCATTACTTCATCTGCACATTGTACTGTTTTCACATACGATACAGGGCTCCTCCGCCTTATTCTGCGTACTCACTCCAGCCCTATGTTACCCTTCCGCCGATGAAAGCCACAGTTGATCTACCCCCGCTTCAGATTCCAGTGGCTCCATATTATTGGGATCCAAACAAACCATGTGCGGAACCAATACCTCCCTCACCGAAATCAGATAATTCCGATGACACGGATGATTCTGAGTGCAAGTGTGGATGCGATAAATCCGCCGCCTCGCACGCATCCCCATCCCCATACCCATATCCATACCCATACCCATATCAATTTCAATACCAATACCCATACCCATCCGAGAAGCCAGAGAAGTGTAAACGCAAGCCTCCTACACAGCCCAGGAAGGGTTGTAGCTTGAGGAAACGGAAGTCGTTGAGATCGTATGGGGCGGATTTACCTTTCGATTCACTCAATCTTGCTCCGCGTCCCACGTATTGGAGGCCTGATTACGCCCCACCTCATGCTGCACATTCCAAGTCT